GGCGCCACATCAAGAACGGCTTTTGGACCTTTGATTGATATTCGACAATTTGCGGCCAACATCTGCGCTGCATGTCCATGGCCGAGTCAGACATAACAAGGATCTGATACTAGATCCTCTCCCCCAAAGACTCGAAGTGGCAACATGTCACGCAGATGCCCAAAGCCGATCTGCACCATGAGCATCTGTGCTTGCTGAGGCAGCGCCCCCGGTGAGCATTGCGCAAAGGCACGCAGGTATTTGTTCCGGCTGCCTCGCAAATTTTCAGAATGCAGGATGGTCTGCACGAACCAGCCAGTACAGGTGTTTCTGGAGATTTTTTGGTTCTTGAAAAAGCATTAGGCTCCTACTGATTGTAGTGTGGGAGACGTGTTTTCCACATTTTCGGAGAATCACAGAAGCATTCCCTTGATGAGTGGTTACCCTTTGGGCCACATCGCTTTGTAAAATACCGCTTGCCTTGTGGTTCAGGCGTCCACAGCAGAAGCGCTCCCTATGGGTTTGGGTTCCAGCGCTTCTGATGATGTGTTTCCACGGGTATTAGATGAAGGGCTGTACCATTTTCAGGCTTTGGCATCAGCAGCCCCAACAACAGCAGCAACATCAGCAGCAGCAACTACAACAACCAGCGCGAGAGCGACAGTGGCCCTATGATGCTACATGTTTCGCTCTTTCGACCGCTGTTGATAGGTATTTCAAACCGGATGTTATGCCCCAGGCCAACTTCCCATTGTTTGGCACTCCTCTCAGCGAGTCAAATATATGGGGAGACGGACATGTCTTATTCCTGGGGGTGGGGGTACTCAGTATCGGCCAACGAACTCCTTAAAGGGGGTTATATAGGGGATTATATAGGGGAGTATTATAGGGCTTATTATGGGGATACTAGGAGTTTAGACTATGGCTCATATGAAATTCAAAACTCCTGGGAGGCCTCCGAGCGCACAGAGAGACCCGCCAGATACTGCGCCTGTGCCAGTGGAGAGCGAGCCCAGGTACCTACTCCGGATTGGGAGGTGAATACGGCTAAGGGTTTGTAGGGATAGTTTAAGTGCAAAGTGACATTCCCCTGGGTAAAGAGTGAATGCAAGGGTGGATCTAGGGATCCCTACTCAGGATTCCATAGAGGTAAGTTGGAGAAAGTACCATCCAAGCTCTTCCTTCAGCGGCTTTTAGCTGCCTGGCTTACGCCCCTGATCTGACATGGAACTCACCTAGGTCCCTGGCAAAGGATAGCAATTCCGCATCTGTTTGGCGGAAGGTGGTCTTCGGCTCGTGTAGCTACAGTTTCGGCTAAGAAGGCCTTGTTACGAGCGAGGGCGTGTCTTTGTAGATGTTCTGTGGTTTTTCGCATGCGGTGATTTGATTTCCTATATGGCCTCCTCTCGACAGGGCCCGCCCAATCAAGTTTGGGGCGGGGTCTGGGTCTAGGAGGAGCTCCCAAGGCAGGATTCTTGTGGGCGCTTGGGCTCAGAGCTCTTCAGCCTCACCCCATCAGGATCTTAAGTTCAGGTTTCATAGATTGAGGCCCAGGCCTGGCCTTGAACAGATTATTCTGTACCAGTTTTAGGGGCCAGTATTCCGTTTGACTGGGCCAGGTATACCACCCCTAAGCAGGGATGATTGCTAGGCTTTTTGGGTTATACGGAAAGGATGAACTCCGGAGTTTCCGGGGAAAGCGCTCGATTTGTTCAGTCTCTGGGGCTTCTAGTTCAAATCATGCCATGGTTCCATTTCCGCTTTGATATTACAAGGTATAGGACAACACTTATCCCTATTCCGCACCCAAGAAGTTCGCTCTGTACGGGCCCCTTGGACCAGTGCTTTTGTTGCCAAGAGGATGCATGCAAGTAAGTTGCGAACGCAGGTCATAATGGTGCAAGTGGTAGCGGCATGGTGGCCCGCCTCCACCTATTTTGGCTAAATGTGTATGATATTACAGCACGACAGACCATTGCATTAAGTCTGCTTGCATGCCAAGCCTGAATGCGGAGCCCAAGATCAGCTGGACGCTTGTGCCTGCGGCGGCTAGAGCCCCGATCCAAAAGACAGCCAGGGCAGAAGAGCAGCGGACCCCCGCGCCACAGGCGCATGTGGGTTGGGCTTTTTCGGGAATGCATGAAGTTCGGGGATAAGTGGTCTGAAGCCAAGCGGCCGAGCCTTGTCGGTTCAGAGTCCTGGGGGGTAACAAGGTTTGAGGCCGATATGTGTGCAGAGGCTAGTCGTAGATTTGTAGGATTTTCGGACGGAACCAGTGTTGGTGATAACTGTTAGTGATTGTCGGTTTTGCTGAATTTGGCAGTGTTTGATGGGCGAGTTCACCATGGGTATTGTTGATAGCCTCATTTGTCATGAGGGTCGGGCACCATCCCTCCACACCCCCCACCATTCAAGTTGGATTAGCTTCATTTGAGGCTGGTTCCACCTGATTGAAGGGAGGGAGTTGCATTGGGAGTGAAGCCTTTTGATGAGTTTTGGGTCCTGTTGCACTCCTGCACTGATAAATGGTCAGTTATCATCATGTCGCGCCATTGTCAGCATGTGAGAGAGGTTTGACAAGAGCGTCCTCAATATCTGTGCGCTTGAACACAGTTGCTTTGAGACAAATGTTGTGGCAGGGTTTCGTGCTGAAAATTTGCCATGATCAGGTCTTGGCAAGAGCGGGTAGTGTCTGGCACGCCACAAACTGCCCTTGAATGAAAGCCCTGATGTTTTCTGCACTGCATGATTTTGGTAGTTAGTGAGCTACTTACTTTCGCTCCAAGTTCGGACTTACTGCCGAGCCCGGCAAACAGGGGCAGGCGGCCAGACGGCCCAGCGCGCGGGCGCACCAAAAATCAGCACAGACTTTCATCGCCTCAGAACAAGACGGTCAAAAACTGACTCCTGCTCTCTGGGGAGGGGTGCAAACTTGGATTGGGTGGCGCGTTGCCATCTAACGCCCGCCCTTGGCCAGCCCGCTTCCACTGCCCGCCAACCTCGGGAACCTAAACAAGCAGGCCCAGGGTAGGAAAGCCAGGGTTTGGGGTTTATGCAAACGGGCAGACTGCCTGGAAATCACGTCTTAAAGCACCAACATCTTCAAAACAGCCAGGGTAAAAAACCCAGAGCGCTGACGCCAAATTACCGCAACAGTGACTCGCAGGTCACCAGCAGCCCCCAAAGGCACAGTAGCAGGTTGCCGATATTACCAATATCTCCAGGCACCAGTTTTAGCCTCAAAGCATTCGAAAACTTGCTGTATCGCCAACACTAGGATACAAATACAAGATATCACAAGGGTCCAAAAGAATTTTGTTTAAGCAGCTGCCTTCCTATGACACAATATCCACAGGCACTTGTCTAGTTGTGATGCGTCTTCGTGCTGCAGGAGGCCCCGAAAGGGATGCCCATATCATCCCATATCCTGTGTTCGTGTTCGAGCAAGGCTTGAACATGGCAGCAACTAGTGACAAGGCCCCACATTTTGCGCCACTACCGTTTCGATGATCATCCGAAGGTGGAGGCCGCACAGATGGCGGAGACAGCAGCCAAGGAGGTCTGTGCCTTAAACTACTGGAGGCTGGTTGGTCATACGATGTGCTTTATGCAGCTCTTCGTCATAGCAATCTGCAGCCATTCGCAAGGCACTTCCCTATGCAGCACCGCTCCTTGTCACAGGGTTTTGCTGAGGGCAACAGCCCGTTGACTGTTCGGATTTTTGAAATGCAACTTTGGCACATGCATGAGGTCTTCCACTGATGGGATAATCATAACGATTATCAGGCACTTGCATAGCTTCCCATGGCATAGAGCAAAATACTGGCAAACTTTTGAATGAAGCCCACAGGCTCGCACCCTACATGAGGAGGTTGTGGCATTACACCCGAAGCCCTTAATCCCACACCTCCTCATGGAATCTCAAAGCACGGAGGCAACCTAGGGTTTAGGGTTTAGGGACCCTCCATCTACCCTCTATACCCCAAATACCTACTATCAGGGACCATATGCCCCTATTAATGGGTACGAGGATACCCTCTATGCCCCAAACACCCACTATGGACCATATGCCCCTATTAATGGGTACAAGGAGGGTCCTGGTACAAGTTTGAAGTAGCTGGTTCATCCTGAGGTGGAGGCAGCAAAGAAGGATGCCGAAGCAGCCTTACCGGCAGCACCACCTGTGCCGGGATCCGAGCCTGAAGGCTTCAACCAACGATATCTACATATATGTATATACATATGTATACATATATACATGTGTATATATGCATATATACGTGTATATATATATATATGTATATATCCATATATTTTACGTGTATATCTATATATATATATATTTCATATATATGTACACAGACAATGCTGATCTGAAGGCTTACACTTGTTTTTGTACCATGAAACTCCGGGGTATTCGGCTGGTTATGCTTCCAGCCACATCTCCGAAGTGGCCTTGAAGAAAAAGTGAGGCTCAAAGGTGTAGGACTTTCCTGTGGCTCCAATAACCTACAGTTTAGTAGTAAGTACCCCTTAATTAATAGGTATAATCCACAAAACTGTAGGTTATTGGGGTTACAGGTTATCCTTGCGATCTACCAAAAACGAGTTGCGCACTGGATTGTTTTTGCACTTACTGCATTTTCCCGGACCATGCCTTCCGAACCCGTTTCATGTTGAGATGCAATCTTTGTTTTAGGCGAAACTTGCACACTGCACCGGGAGAATGGATTGATATGGCGGAGCTGCTACTATGATCATCGCAGAGTTTAAGGTATAGTATGTTGGAGATATCTCATGGACATGGCCACGATGTACTCCTCAAAACCTTCTGGTGCATCGCGGAGCTGCCAAGTCCAAGAGCCTTTTAAGTTTTAAGCGCATTCTAGCATTGATACTCCATCTGTACGTATGCCAATTAAGGCATTCGTTGTCATGCGCAACCGACCAGTCCTTCCGAGTGCAGGCTCTGACCCCCCTTAGTTCTTCGAATCCGACTTGTCCAGCTCTCCGCTTTTCCAATGCTCCGCGGTACCATCCTCGCCCTTCTTGGCCTCACACAGGCTGTGGAGCTGACAAAGGACTCTTGGGACGAGGCAACCAGTGGCAAGACCGTGTTCGTGAAGTTTTTCGCCCCTTGGTGTGGCCACTGCAAGAAGATGAAGCCTGATTGGGACAAGCTCATGAAGGAGTTCGAGGGCTCCTCTGAAGTTTTGATTGCTGATGTGGATTGCACCGCCGGTGGCAAGGCCAAATGCGACGAGGTGGGTGTGCGAGGCTTCCCCACGCTCAAGTATGGCAATCCTGATGACCTTCAGGATTACACGGGCGGCCGCTCATACAGCGAGATCTCCAAGTTCGCCAAGGGCCTTGGCCCTCAGTGTGGACCTGCTAACAAGGATCTGTGCGATGATGCCAAGAAGAAGCTGATCGATGAGTACATGGCGATGGAGAGTTCAAAGCGCGAGACCATGATCAAGGAAAAGGAAACTGAGGTAGAAAAGCTCGAGTCGGATTTCAAGACCTTTGTGGAAGGCCTCCAGAAGCAGTACCAAGAAGCCAGTGACAAGAAACTGGGTTGCTCTTAGGAAACTTAAAAATTGAGTTACCCTAATGGGTATACATATAAATATACATTTAGTAGTTAATATGGTTCCCCTCATTTTAGCAACTTAACTTCAGTTCCTTAACAGCAACCCAGGAAGGACAAGGATGTGGAGGCCGTCAAAAGCTCTGGCCTGGGATTGCTCAAGTCACTTTGTGGAACTTGGTTTAGGGTTATATATTGGAGTTATATAGGGTATATAGGGGTTCAGGGTTGAGGGTTTTGCTTACAGAGCTTTATACCTTTCAAAGCTCTGGGGGGGTGTTGTCTTCGTAGCGTTTAGGGCACTTCAAGTCCTCTGATAGTTAAACGATCCTTATTCTAGGGATTGGGGCAACCAAAATCCCCTTACTAGCTGAGAACAGCTGAGGTCAGTCCGTTCTTACAGCAAGAAGGGCAACCCTAGACCCAAAATTCCTAAACCCTAAATCTGGGGCCTTAAACCCCAAGCCCTAAGCTGAGGTCAGTCCATGCTTACAGCAAGAAAGCCAAGGCGGAGCTCTAAGGCGACAGAGCCTGGGGCGATTGGCCCAAATGAGGTTATACAGCTTTCACAGCTCAGGGGTCCTTGGCCTTCATGATGCGGATTATCGGATTTTGGGGCTAGAAAAGAGGACCCCTCTTTTGAAAAGGCCCAGTAACAAAAGGTTTTTTGTTGAGCAGCATGGAGGGCTGCGGCTTTGTCCGCTTTGTCTTTTCGCGAAGGCCATAGGATCACTGCGCATAGACTTTGAGTGAACCTGGCAAACTAGTGGACTACTTGGAGCGCACGCTACGGATATTATTCCCTTTTAAAAGTATGAAAGAACCTCGTACAGGATATGCTGGTAGATTAGTGTTTGTTACCGGTACAGATATGGATTACCAAGCTCCGCGCCGGGGTCGCTCAAATTAATCGCACGCTGGCATTTTTGCCACACAGCGGCTGCACAGTAATCTCTAACAAAGCACGGACAGGCTGCTCTGGTCATTAACATCAGTCTCCATAGTTACAACCTAATGTCAATCTGAACAACTGAAAGGGGCACTTGTACCTTCCGATCAGAAACCAGCACCCTCCGGAGCGAACCTATCGGCAATGATGCCGTGCATGTGAGCACAAGGAGAGAAAAGTCAGTTGGAAAGCCCCTGCTGGCCACTTGGAGGTCCTTGTCAGTGGAGGTCCTCGAGAGTCGGGGAACCAGATGGCATCTACACCAGCAACAACAACAACAACAACAACAGCAACAGCAACAGCAACAGCAACAGCAACAACAACAGCAGCAACAACAACAGCAACAGCAACAGCAACAGCAACAGCAACAGCAACAGCAACAACAACAACAACAACAACTGCTACTGCCGCTAGTACTATTGCTACTGCTACGGCTACTGCTATTGCTGCTGCTACTACTACTCTTACTCCTCTTACCCCTACTCCTACTCCTGCTGCTGCTGCTGCTGCTGCCACTGCCACTGCCACTGCTACCGCTCCTGCTACAGCTACTGCTTTTGCTACTGCTGTTGCTGCTGCTGCTGCTGCTGCTGCTACTACTACATGACTACATGTACTGCTACTACTAGTACCGCTGCTGCTGCTGCTACTACTACTACTACTACCACCACCACCACTACTACTGTTGTCAGTCCTCCTATTCGTGTCATTATTGCTTTCAAATCACCACTCTAGTACCGTTGTTGCCATATTCTTGATATCTTTTACACGTGGTATTGCTGCTATTCTGTTTACGACTGCTATCACTCTTTGTAGTTGTGTTTCTAATGCACATTTCCATGTTTTAGCAATACTACTACTGTAAGTAGTACTCTTATGAGGTTCACTAGGGGATGAACCTTTAAAGTCCCTTAGCCCTAGACAAGTTCTCTTCAGCCCAATCCCGCCGTTCCATCCTTACGCATCCTCTTCCCCCGCCCACAGTGGATGCGGGGAATCTTGCACCATTTAGCAGCCCCAAAGTACATACTGCGAGATCACCCATTTTAGGGCTATGCAGGTTCGTGCCAGTCTTCTTTCATCCTCAGTGTACCGCCAGCGTATCCTGAAAAGCCCCTAAAGCCTGCCCTGCCGAGTCAGATGCTATGGTTCAAACTGTTGGTGCATACAGGCCTCCTTGGGGAGTATCGGTGAGTGTGTTGGTGGGGTGTCCATGTGGAGGGGCCATAAAGTGGAAGCCAGAAACTTTACCCTCCCACCCTGAGCATAGACCACCATGCTTCAAACTCTGTTGGCCTAAGCAGCTAACAACGGCCTTGCCTTATCTGGGTCAATGTTAGGGACCCTGTATGCTTTTATGGTATGGGATTCCTTATATTTATGTAAAACGGATCCTTTTTTCTCCCTAGGGTAATGTGGGCTAAGTTATGTGCCTCTGGGAAAACCTGCCACCCCTAAGCCCTCACAACAGTCCTCGAAGCACTTCAGCCCGCAGACCTTCAGTCTCTCTGTCCTGAACAGAAACCCTGAGGAATTTCTAGGTGGGTAGTTTCCCCCATGTAAGCCCTATGTAGACTAATATGCCCAGTTGTCATCCCATATAAGCGCCTGCGGAGACCTTACCTAAGGCCTATATACACCTTTCATATACCTGCCCATAAAAACACATAGCCTTCTATACCGCTCATGCAAACCTTAAGCCCTAAATCCCAAGCCCTAAACCCCTAAATAGTAGCTTCCATTTTCTGTTCCGTTATCCTATATAGCCCCAGTATAACCGATACAACCCCTATAAAACCCAGGTCTGCGCCTGCAGGGTCCAGTGCATCCTCACCTGCGGAGGCATCTTGGAGTTTCAGGTTGATAGGGTTTAGGGTCATATAGGGATAATGGAAAAGACAATGGCAACCACCATAATGGGGTCATATAGGGTTTAGATTTTAGGGGGTTTACAGGGATTGGGGCGGGATAAGGTTAGGGTGTTTATAGGGTTTGAGGTTTGCAGATTTGGGGTTTACGGGACTTTTCCAAGTAAGTCCCTACATCAGGTACGGTGGATGGAGGAAGTATTCCACATATAGCTTTATAATTGTCGCTTTGGAGTCTATGAGGTGTGATGCCAGGCTTCCCTTGCCCGCATCCACAGCAGGATTCTCTTATAGCCGTTGGTGAATGATATAGGTTTACTTTGGAATGATGGTGAGGGGATAAACTGTATGGGGAGGCGTCCAGGAATTGGGCCAAGAGGTCTGCAAGGGCTCCTTTGTTGGGGGTGAAACTCCAAGGACTGTTTAACAGTGTTTTCTACTGGGGCTATGAACGCAGGACAGTAATTTCGGGCTCGTGTCCAGTTTTCGCAGCCTTGTGAGTACGTCTGTCATGTTGACAAATTATTACCAGATTTCTGCAAGATCTCTGGATGGGCTTTGCCAAATGCTCATATTTTGGTGTATATAAGGGGAACCCTCTTTCCGAAATTCCTGAGCCTCCAGGAAACCTAATAAATCCAGCACCGACCAGTCGAATACTCACAGACTTCCTATATGCTTTACTCATAGCCCCAAGATAACCCATGCCGGCATTGACATGAACTCATTGTCACATGTCTTTGTACGCGTGCATGTCTATGCCGATACCTATGCACACACACACACAACTGGATTTGTTTTGGCGCCTGCCTGCGTTTGCCACTATTTGCGCTGATAAGATGGCTACTGCAGTGCCAACAACTGAGCAGTCCCCAGTTACACCCCAACTCCTCAGTCTTACGGTGAAGGATAAAACCGAATAGGATGGCGCTAAGAGTATCAAAGATCCTCAAGCGGGCAATTTTCAAATTTGCTGTCTCATCCTAGAACACCAAAACACACTGCGCCAGTCTTCGCAGGAATCCCAGTAAACCAAAACCCCCAACTTGATTTCCCAGCGGATGAAAACGCTCAGGTTCGGTCTCAGACATCAGCCACCCCAGGAGCGGTTTTAGGGTTTCCAAAGCATTTTTGGGGGGGTCCTTATAATTGGGGGTCTGTATGGGAGTCCTCCTCCTATTCCTCCTATTTAGGGAAGCTACCATGTGGATCTGGACGTTTTTCGACACGTGCTGGTTGTCAGTCGGAAATGAAGGAGGGGAGAAACCATGGCAACTGTTGCATTATTGGGGTTATATGGAGGCTACGACAGTGATCCATTCCTCCATTTCTACAATTAAGGTTCAGAGGTGTCGATGTCAGCTATTGAGTACACAGTCCTCAAGTGGAATATTTATACTTTGTCCTAGTAGCATCCAAGCAGTACTGCGCCGCTCCCATGTCAGAAGCTCCCACATGGGAACATACAAAGACTTGAGCCTAGCGTGGACCTAAATTTGGGGGGGGCTCCAGGATTCAGGGCAAAGGGGTACGCCCAAACTTCACTCGTTGATGTTTCGGAGTCTTGAATTCGGTGTGTTGATGCATCCTCATTTTGAGTCAGGGGCTATAGCTAATGCTACAAAACACACTTAACTGAAGCCAGGCTCTTCGAACAACTGGGAGGAATAACCTTGGCCGTCAGCCTTGGGGTTGTACCGCATCTAAATAATAGTTTCCATTTTCTTTTCCATTATCCCTATATAACCCTTATAGTACCCTATATTATCCCCATATAACCCCATATAACCCCATATAACCCCATATAACCCCGTATAGGTTTCAAGCATCTTGTCCGGACGCCAAGGGCATCAAGGATCCAGCAGATATGCCTCACGGAATTGAGGTTGCGGTGCATTGGGGTAAAGAGTTTGATCCTGAAGGCTGAGTGTTTATGGAGAGAACCCAAAGATTGAGATGATGATTTGGAGCTTGATTCGAGCCTTGGCTTCATTTGTTGCACAGTAGCAGAATGGAGTGGAAAGCTATGAGTGTCGAGCATGTTTTGCCCGTTTGGGTACGTATTGTTTAGGATCACATTTGCAGGGCACAGAGAGGATGCGTGAGGAAGAGCTGTACATCTGAAGAACCAGTGCCGTGTCAACAGCCTAGCATTCTCTACCGGCCCATCTATAAAACCCTAATATAACCCATTGTAGTAGTTTCCATTTTCGTTTCCATTATCCTTATATAATCCCTATATAACCCCAATATATTATAACAGTTTCCATGTTCTTTTTCCATTATCCCTATATTCAGGACGAGCTGTCGTATGCCAAGCTCCACAGGCACGGTCTGAAGGATGTCTTTCCCAGATCCCATGCCACGCCCGGGCGGTTCTCGACCTCACAAGTAACCCTCGGGCGTCACAACGCCGAGCAGCCTGCTTTTCGGGCACACCAAATGATTCAGTTGTGTAAGCTCAGTTGGTCGGAGACTTAGTCATGGGAACTCTACGATGCACTATCACACATATCGCCTTATGTGGGTAACAACTGGGCCCCTGCTTGTACGACACACCTTGCGTGTTTTTCATACGAGCTGTGGGGAAAACGAGCGATGGACGTTGTCTGTAACTTCTGCTGCAAAATCCGAACACATTCGTAGTGTTTAAAGAATACCGGTCCTTACGTTTCCTCAGGTGCACGAGGGCGCGGAATGTTG